CCCCCCCCAAAGGTAGTGCACTCCTCTTGTCTCTAGGTGTTCCTTCAAGAGCAAAGCTGGTTATCCTGGAAAAGAAACAATTTCTTGCCCTCTGAGAGAAGCTACTTGGCTACTTTCCTGCTTAAATACATGCTTTAGTGATCCCAGCTGAAGCTGGTTACCTAGGGTGGGGTTAGTAATTAGCCTGGCTCTCTTTAGAAAGAATTAACCTGATTTAGGGGGACTATTTAAACAAATTATGAATTTTGACTTTTTAATTCCAATTTTGTATGGAAGTCAGGATCACCACATGACAGCTAGAGACAGACTATGGAAGAAGAGTAAATAAAGAGAGTGGAAGATGTTTTGTTCTGAAATGAGCATATATGCAGTTGTGCTCAGACACTGTCAGCAACTGTCCACGAGTGTCTATAGAGTCTGTAATAATGGAGCCACCAACTATTACAATAAGTGGGGTGAGTTAATTTTTGGCTTTGATGCTGTAAGAACACTGTGTAAGGCATCACCCACTTCCTGAATTGCACCCAGAACTTTTACATCCAATAAAAAGTTTATAGGAAGGCTTTTTCAAGGGTGTGCCTGCAACCGAGTGTTATGTCTGCCACCTCCCTAACCACGGATCCAGAAACAAATAGCTGCTTTTTAGAGATCCCTGCTGTAGGTTCCAGCTCTTTCTAACTGGGACAACATTTTGGAATTAGGCTGGCTGAGGCGTTGTGTGTGTGGTGGCGGTGGGGATGGAGCCACTGGCATTTTTCTGCACAGGATGAACTCTTAAGCATAGATACCAAAGAGGTACATGATTAGGTCACTTCATCCACACCTCTGCCAATGTGGGAGTGTTCTCTCTCAAGGACATTCTGGACTGCAGTGTCCAATCTAGCTGCAGATGAGTCAGAAATTGGCTAAATGTCCATCTGTACAGTTTTTCTAAAGAAAGACAGCCCTTTGCTCAGCCTGCTGAAACCTGGGGAAGCTTCTTTGCTTTGGGTTGTGAGTCCCAATCTTTTATCCCTCAATTGCCTGTTAATTTAGCTGGTGGACTTCACGGGCTCTCATGTCTTGCAACTGAACATTTTTAAGGCAATTCATTTGGTTAGACTGATTCACTTCTTCCCAAACCTTTGACAAGTGATCTGTTAAGGCACCAAAACTGTATAAAATGGAACCAGTTGAAACAATTACCTGCTGGGGGGCCGGGGGGAGTGCGAGGGGAGGAGTGGGGCAGGACACCATCAGCCTGAGTACACAGTGAAGATTATTAAACAGGAAATAAGGTCTTAGTAATTCTCTAATGGAGACATGTTTACATGTTTTCTAGATAGCTGATGGTTTTAGTTACACATTCAGCTCTTCAAAATTAAATTTTGTATAAATGGTGAGTGGATTTGGACAGTGCACCAAAATGACATCATCTCAACATCTGACTCTAGAGCTTAGTCATTAGAGTTGTAATTTAGAACACTTTTTTTTTAAAAAAGTAATATTAATCTTTCTTCTGGCACAAGTCATTGTTTCCTGGCTATTTGTAGTACAATAACATTAGTTCTTTTTTAGTTGACTAAAATACTAAGATTTTCAGAAAAATCTTGTGTCCTTTGTGTAACTGCAAATATTTGCTGCTCAGTGCAAGGCCAGCTGAAAACATGGCTTAGAAAACAACACCTCATAATATCACCTGTTATACATACTTTTTTTTTTTAAATGAAGTTTTAAAAATGTAGTTAGTTTTATTTAAAAATACTGCTACTGCTGTCACATCACTGTAAAAATACAATCTACTTAATTTAAAAATATTACTAGCATCTGTTATCTTAGCTGATTGTGTAGGTTTAGGTTTGAATTTGCCTTTTTTTTTTTTTTTTTTTTTTTTCAGTAGGTTAGTGGATGTGGAAAGCCCAGAGCACCTTGCAGTGTGAAGAAGTGTTGGATTTGATGGCTGGGTCCTTCCCTGAATCCTGCATTAGATATTTTAAAATTGCCTTTGCCATTACTGTAGCGCTCACCCTGTTCAGACAACATGCACAAAGGCACTTGTTGCATTTCTTGTGTCTAACCATGGACTCGGTGCTGCTTCCCGTGGTCGGTTCAACCTGCTCCACGGAGTACCAGTACTAGCAAATACTGCCTCGATACTTTGAAAAGTGCCTTCTTTGGAATCAGAAAACATTTGCCAGACTGAATCCTAACAGTGCAATGACTTAAAATAATAAGAAAAAAGAGCTCACATATTTTGTGGCTCACACATCTATTCCATTTGTAATATTTAGCAGTAAATGTTAATATATTTTTAAAAAAGCTTGAAGAATATGAAAAATTTCGGCTGAAAATATATTTCCAAGGGCACTGGCACAGTTTTACAGCGTGCTGTGTGTCTTCCCTGAAATATTCTCTATCCCATCTGCTATTTGTAATAATACTGCATCTTCAGTCAAACTAACAGCTGTTTTGTTTTCAGACAGGACCCAGGGCTTTGGTCTTCTCAGTACGTTAGCAGGTGCAAACTGTAGCATTGGGTCAGAAGAGAACCAAGATACAGAAGTAAACAGTAACTCCTGTTTCTTATTCTTTGCTCATACTGTTTCTTGTGTTGCTCTTTTCTATTGTCACACTCAATGTGGCGGTGGCGGAGGCTTTCTTTTTTTCCTTTCTTTCTCAAGGGATGATTCACAGCCTGTTGGAATGTATTTTAAAAGAAATATTTCTGAAGTCTGTAAAACTAGCTGCGTTCTTCTTCTGAGTCCCCCTGAGACAGTTGTTCCTAGGAAGCTGTCACTTCGCAGCCGTGAGCTTGCTGTTTCTCAGGGCATTGCCTCAGAACTCCTTATTTCACCTGGAGATGTCTGAGTATGTGCTCAGGGTTGGGTGTTGCTCATGCTGACTTCAGCACTGTGTAAATGTTTCACCCGAGACAACCCACTGGAGCCATTTGAGGTGGTTTTTTTCATTAATATCCAAGAGCAGTATTTTGTGCAAAACAAAAACTATCACTTGATAGTGTTATTTAAAAAACAACTAACCTGTCAGAAAGCCTTTATGTAGTACCTATATACAGTGTTGCCAAAATGGTTTTTCATAGTACACCTGGTCCAGGTTTTGCAGTAAATAACAGTTTAAGATAAAGCGTAAGTTTTTGAAGTCAAACCAGGAAGCACCTGATTTGCTGATGATGGTTTTTAGGTGCGTTATTGGATACTCTAATACCTATTTGTTTCCTGACAGTCCAACCAACCAGCAGCAGACAGAGAAGCAGCCCATTTAGAGAGCAGAGAAGACGGGGCTGGCACAAACAACCTGCCGAGTGACAGTGCTGTAGGTGAGCTCTTTCTCTGCCCGGCAGATCTGTTGGAGCAGGCACCCTGGCTGGGACAGTCCCAGAATGCCACTGGCTTCTTCTCAATGACAAGTGTGGCACAATCGCACTTGCCAGGGCCAGCAGAGCCAAATTGTCCAGACTTCAGGTGTTCTCTCCTTGAAAAAAATGGGCCCAGGTTTGGATAGGACTGAGCCCCTGCAGTACCACCAACTGCAGACTTTCAGATCTGCTTTTGTGAATTTTCCTGATGCTCATATTGTGTATATCTAGAAGCATAAGAATAAAGCTCCAAGCTTTATGGTTGCACAGAAAAATCACGACAGCTTGACCCAGCAGGAGGTGGACAAAACACACTCTGCTTGGGTCAGTCCTGAGAGGTTCAAGTGTTGGAAACTGCAGGTCCTTAAATAATTGCACCGCTCCAGGAGGTGGCACTTTCTTACAGGTTGTATGTGGTGATCTTCTAAAGGTTGGGTGTTAGTATGGCCTCATTACCCTTTAATTTGTGGCTATTCCGAGACAGATAATTTTATAATAAGCAAGGAACCTTATATATTGCATTAACTCAAAAAACACTCTTGCACTCTAATGTAGCAAAATTAATGACCACTGTAGTGATTCCATGAGTTGTCTGAATGAACAATCGGTAAATTAAATGTTTCTTTCCCTCCTATGCGGTTGGAATTTGAAAACGGGATTTGCAGATGTTAAAATAGTGCTTTTCAGAAGGCTTTCAAACCTGCTGACAAAACAGAATAATTTACCTTAAACCAACCTATACGCATTTATTTCAGATCCTATGTTAGATATGGACATTCAGGAGTTGGCCAGCCTAACCACGAGAGACGGTGACCTGGAAAACTTTGAAAGGCTGTTTTCAAAGCTGAAAGAAATGAAAGGTAACACTCCAGGGAGAGAGACACTCAAGAGATGTCACCTAATCCAGTCACTCACAGGCATGAAAGCCAGCATGGGATTTGGGAAGATTGTACAAATTCCTATTCTCCTATCTGAGGTTCTTTATAAGTAGCTGATCTTTTCATTAATTGGCCCTTCATCTTGTTAGTGCTCTTGAAGGAAGTAGGTACTGCTCAGCTGACTGTTATCACACTGATTTTGTCCACCATAAACTAATGCTACAGTTTTCTATAAACAAACCTATAAGAATACTTTTTTTTTTTTCTCTCTCTTCAACTGCTTGCCAGTATTGCAGTTTAAAACTACAGATGTTTGAAATGAAATCCAGCATGCTCAGCAGCATCAGCTTTCTGGCTGGGAATTGCAGTTGCTCCTACTAATTAAGATTCCTTTTTTATAATCTTAAGCTAGTTTCTTGGTAGTTCCCTACAAGCAGCTGCAATAGGCATTTCTCTCCCTGCTCGCTCCCCAGGCTGACAACCTGAGTCATGTTCTTTTCCACAGATAAAGCTGCAACGTTGCCTCATGAACAAAGAAAACTACACGCGGAAAAGGTGAGGTTTTGAAATTAGCATTGAAATTACTAAAAATGGGATTTTACTTTCTAAGCCAGTTATTTCTCTTGGAAAGTTCCCATGATAAGAGTAGTAAGAACAAATGGCACAGGCCTAGGGAAGATTGTCTGGTGTCTCCCAAGAACTGAGTAACAAACCTGGAAGTTTGAAACACCAGAAAAAACTTTCCCCTTTCAAAATTTCTGAAAGGAAGGTGCTGAGTCACTGAGGGTGTAAGGCAGCTTCCACTTAAGTCAGTGGAAAAGCCTTGATCTCGAGGAGGATTTAATCATGCCTTAATTAGCACAAGTTCTGTATCACATACGCCTTCATGAATTAGAATTATTATAATAATTAGAATATAATACACAATGTATAATAACATCATTATTAGAATTATTGCCTCTGTGCTGAAATTCCTTGACTTCAGAGAGGATTAGCATTGTACCTAGAAACATGGTTGCTAGATTTAGCTGCTGCTCGGTTTCTATTTTTTGGATGCTAAGTGCAAAATCTTCAGTCGTTTGAGGAGTTTTTCTCCCTTTCCTATCTTTTTCTCCATTGTTAGGTGGCCAAAGCGTTCTGGATGGCAATTGGAGGAGACAGAGATGAAATTGAGGGTCTCTCCTCGGATGAAGAAAACTAAGTTCTTCTGTAGCTGTAAGCGACAGAGCAGTGCTAAAAGAGTGATCTCCTGCAATGAGTGTTTATTGTGAAAAGCCCCATTTAGCTTTAGTTGCTTTCTTTGGTTAAAGGATTCTCTGTATCACTGTAGTAAGTAACACATTCCACAACACCTAATTATTAGAGTGGGTTTGTCTGACTGTTCATTTATTCTCTCCCAGAGAAGTTTGGAAGGCGATGCATGCAGTTAGAGGAAATAATAATTAGTTTACATTTTTCAAATTAACATTTTTATTGTTTCCTCTTTTGAGTTTAAATAAACAAATTTACTCCCAGTTATCTTTCTACATATGGCTGGTGGTTGTTAAGTGACTGCTTAATTCTAAACTCCACATTTTAGATGTAGGCCTGTTTGATGTTTTTATGTAGCTTTATAGCTGACTTACTAGTTAAAACAAACCAGATTTATATGAGCCATGAAGAGAAAGTTGCTGAATTGTGCCCTGTTGAGGGATGCGATGCCAAGGCTGTAAGGTTGATCCTGCTGTGTGCCAAAGCTATTACAAATGGCCCACAGGCTTTGAATTCTGTTTGTGGTCCTTCCCTGGCAAGTCAGGTATTGTGCCACACTCCCTGGCTTTCCGTTGAGAGACTCAATTTGGGATTAAGTGCAAGACAGATTTTTGCTGCTGTTCCAGGGGTGAAGTTCCCTGCCCAAACCTTCTGCGGTGCTTGGCCTCTGAGGCCCAGCAGAACGCACAGACCTTCTGTGGGTGAATTCTGCCCTAAATACTGACAGAAAAGCGAAGATGTGAAAAACCCCACCCTGTTACCTGGTGCATTTGGGACAGGCTTACCTGGAGGGCACCAGAGGATGCCTCTCAGATGGCTGCTTCGTGGTCTCAAGGGTTAGAAACGGCTCCTTTGTCCTTAGATTTAGTATCTCATCGTCCTGTGTAGTCCCACAGTCACGGGCTCATGGGAGAGCAGCGAGGTAGAGGGCACCAGGAGGACGAGGAGGTAGGCACGGGCCAGTGAGGGAGCGAGGAGGAAGGGCAAGTGCCACCCCCCTCTCCTTTCCTGCTGCGATGCAGCAGAGCCGTGGGGAGAAGTGCCAGCAGATGCCCTGCAGAAGGACCGGCCTGGCCTGGCACCGCCTGGGTAACGGTGCCTGTCTTCCCTGGGAGCATTTCCTGATGATCTGAAAATCCACCCCGTTAAGCAATCTTGCTTAGAAATTTTGAAATTAACTTTTCCAGCATCTGTCTGCTCATGTCAAGAAATTTCGTGAGTCTTGGAGACAGTGGCTTTCTGTAAATTATTTGACAGCTTTAAATTTTGAAAGCACTTTCACTTGATGTTCTTGACATTCATTGCCTCCTCTTTTAAGATTAAGCAAAGCTAAAAAAATAGTCTTCTTGGAATGCTGTAAATCATTTCCTGGGTAAAAACTGCAGCATTTTCAACTCCTAAGAAAAAGAACCAAAGCCTTGTTAGTGGTTTGAAAAGCATTTCTCAAAGACTGAGCAGTAGCTGCACAGTAGTAAAATAACCCTTTGTAAGAAGAACTGTTCCTTTTCCAGGGATATGTGTACAGACACGGAGGGAACCGCAGCAACCGGGGCCGCCTCTTCCCAACTGAATGATTCAAACTGGCTGCCAGGCCCTGCCATGACTTTTGCATCTCCCCCTTCGCTCCTTTTGCCCCAGCACCAGGAGCTGTGATAAAGAACTGATGCAGGTTCCTTCCAAGCAGGGAATGGTTTTCTATGTTTGTTTCTTGGGAGCTGAAGACTTTTTTTTCCTTTCTAAGTATCTGTTGTGCAATAATGTTAAACTATGAAAGTGCAGAGTAAATTAATTGAATGCAGCAAAGAAAAAAAATGTACTCACTTTATAAAACCAATTCTTTAGAACGTGATAGATGTGACAGTTAATATAAATAAAATGATACAAATTAAAAACAAGTTCTTTGCTGCCTCATTACAAGGTAGCAGCAGCTGAATTCCCACAAAGGATATCTTATCGCAGAAATCTGAATGACCAGTTGGTGAACACACCTTTCCAACCTGCTCCAAACAGATTCCTGGAAAGTGTCACCGCTTCTGGTGACAAGAACGAGGCCGTGAGAGCACAGAGCAAGCGTTACCGGGCCAAGCCAGCACCGTCCCGCAGGGGAGATGGCTCCCGTTGGTGGAGCGTCCCCACAGGCACCAGGTGGTGCAGAGCTCACCAAGGCCCTGGGGACTCCCAGACACTGTTTTCACAGAATCCCAGGATCCTCTCAGGTGGAAAAGCCCTTGAAGATCATCCAGTCCAACCATGAACCTCACACTGACCGTTCTCAACTTCCCAGATCCCTCAGTGCTGGGTCAACCCGACTCTTCAACCCCTCCAGGGACAGGGACTCCCCCCCCTGCCCTGGGCAGCCCATTCCAACGCCCAACAGCCCCTTCTGGAAAGAAATACTTCCTAAGAGCCAGCCTGACCCTGCCCTGGTGCAGCTTGAGGCCATTCCCTCTTGTCCTGTCGCTTGTTCCTTGGGTCAAGAGACTCATCCCCCCTCTCTGCACCCTCCTTTCAGGGAGCTGTAGAGGGTGATGAGGTCTCCCCTCAGCCTCCTCCAGACTAAACCCCCCGTTCCCTCAGCCGCTCCCCATCAGACCTGTGCTCCAGACCCTGCACCAGCTCCGTTGCCCTTCTCTGGACACAACTGAGTAATTGTTTTGTTGTAAATATGGGTCTTGCTCGGCCACGCAGTCTGTGCTTTAAAAAAAGCACAATTCAGCAAGGGAGGAAGTGTGGCTAGGAGGTACTAGGAAATTGTTTTAATGATCCTTAAAAGTATTGTATTTTTAAATCAAAATTTCCTTTGCCTGCAGCTTGGTTTTTGTTTTGTGGCTTGGTTGTTTTTTTCTGAAGAGAGGCTTTGTTTTTGGCTACAGACTTTCCTGACAAAATAGATGTCACAGAAATGAATGAAAGAGGCATTAGTGGAAAAGCAAACCTGAATGCTGTTGTGTCTTTCACTTAGTTTCACTTTGTTTAGCAACAACAAAAGAATTCCCAGCTTGGTTTTAAAGTCTTGTAAGAGTTTTGAATTGGCTTTCCCCAGTGCTGGTGCTCTGGTGCTAAACTGGAACCATTCTGGAGCCACTCTGCAGTTAGGTTAATGCACTGTGGCCAGCTGGAGCAGCTTTTCCTAGGGAAAGATGGTCACAAGAGCATGTAGAGCTACAGAAAATTAATTTTAAGACAATTAATAATTCTGAAGGAAAACATGGTGACATTTCAGTGAAATGGGAAGCACCAGTTTCTGTCCGTTCAAAGCTCAAAGGAAGGTGTCTGCATCTGTGTTGACAATGAGCAGAAAAAAAACACGTCACAGCAAACCCTCCAAAGGCTGCAGAAGACCTTTAAACAGAACTGAAGAAATTGCGATTCAGCGTTGGCTGTGGCCCAGCGGTCACTGGATCTCATGGAAACCCTCTGCAGTGAGTTAAAACTTCCAAGGCTCCATCAGTGCCCGTGTTTCCCATCACTCGGCGTGCCGGCAGCTCATTTCCCGGGGGCTACACAGCGGCCACAGGAGCAGCTGGTGGCCGGAGAGTAATGAGAGAGAGCGTGTGGGAGGCAGTGAAGAAATCCAACGGCACGGAAACACCCTCACCCTGCTGCCCGGCACTGCAGCAGCACGGGCTGCGCTCGGGGACAGCTCAGGGGTGCTGGTTTCACCCGCCAGCCTCAGGTCTGGGGTGTCACCTCTCAGAGTAACGGCTCTGCGGAGCCAGCACTGCTCTGCTGAGGAGTCTGGTCTGGGTGTGTGGAGTGGAGATAGAGAAGCCTCTTGTGTCTCCTGCAGTGTTTCCTCAGCCGAAGGAACACTTGCTGAAGTGAGTCTGGAGGCCTGAGAGAAACACAGTCATAGCTGACTGCGGGATTTATCTGTTACAAACCGCACCACCATCTTCTGCATTCAGGTTGGGTGGTTTTACTAATCCATCCTTAAAGACAACCAAAACATGCTACAGATTTCCTGGGCTTAAAAGGCTTTTTACTACAATACAGCTGCTCTTCTGACTAGAGACGCTTTTGTTACGCTCTCTGCTGTTGATTTTGTTACCTGTAGGAAACGGGCCATACAGCTTCTGAGGCCAAGACCTGTCTTTCTCTGTAGCCAGTTCAATCCTTTTGTGATTAAACTAGTTGTTAGTTCATTATAAATACAGTAAATTGAGTCTAAAATTAAACTAACTGACAATGCCAAGTATGCCGCTGTTTGCTAGTGAACTTCCAATTCTGACTAAGGGCAACGGAAGTGTTGAGTTCAATTAATTTTTAAAAGGAGAAAATGTTACTCGCTTACAATGAGAGTAATGTGTATCTCAAACAAAAATGGTTTACTCTGATAGTGCTTTGGACTTGTGGAAACTGTCCTAAACACCCACAATTAGAGAGGGGAAAAAAAAAAAAAAAAGTTTTATATCTTTTTTGGAGGTGGGTGCTGTGGTGTCAGGCACTGCCTGCTCCCACCTCCCTCCCTCCCCTGCAGCCTCCAGTGGGGAGCTTCCTGCAGAAACACACACATACACCCCGGTGCCAGGAGGAAGCACAGAGATTGGGGGGATAGGGGGGTGAAACCTCAGTCCAGAACCAGACGTCTGGAGTGTGAAGCCAGAGACCCCCTGCGTCTGGGACTAACTAGTCCCGGGTCCAAGCTGGGCTGTAGGCGTGATGGCACGAGCCAGGCTGCCCAAGGACTTTCCTGCCAGCACAGACCAACTGCTTGTTGCCCAACTTTCACTAGAACCAAAACCTCCGTGCACCATCAATTCACTCTTTTTTGGTGTTTTTTTTTAGCTAAAGCTTTGAGATTTTTCATTTATTATCAAACCCGTGTTTTGTTTCAGCTTCCCGTTTCCAGCACAGCATGGGAGATTCAGACGGGAAAACTTTTCCACTCGGAACGTAATGCAGCCATGGAGCAGCTCACCCGGGGAAGGGGGTGGGAAGAATCTCTCTAAGAGTTTTCTTCAAGATTTCCCTACACCAAAGCCCAGCTGACTTGACCTAGTGTTGGCAGCGGTCTTGGATCAAGCATGAGGTTGGCCTAGAGACCTCCAGCAGCCTCTTCCAACCACCAGTTCTCCAATTTGAAACAACACTGGGGCACTTTTAAACCAGGTCCCAGAGCACTCCTGTTTTTCAGGAAGGCAATGCAGGGAAGGGATGAACCCTCCTGACTGGCACTGGAACACGTGACGTTGCAAGAGCACCAACACCCTATCCCCAGCGCCTGGAGGCCCCATCTCCGCCCATCCACCTGCCTCCCCCTCCTCTGCAGAAGCCAAGAACCGAGTGGCCAAGGCCAGGACTTCAGCATGGGACTTAAAATATAAGACATGATTCCTCGACGGCAAGATGCTGGAGGTATTTTGTGGTCTGCCTCCCCAAATACAAAGCCGTAAATACCCCGCTGCAGCTCCTCCACTCCTGAGAATGGAGTTTCCCAATTCCCAGCCATAATGTACAGCCACACGTAGTGCACTGGGCAAAGAGTGAACGCTTAGCTACGCCCCACTTTTCCAGCTATTTGACAATAAATCCTCTGAGCCACAGAGCTCTAATTCTACTCACCTTTAAATCCTGTCAGTTAAAAGAACTGCGTGCAATTTTAAAATTATTTTTTATATCTGGCTTTAAATTTCTGAACGAAACTGTCCAAACTGTAAAAAGAATTAAGATCTTACCTGTAACTGAGATCTTGTGAGAATTACTGGGAAGAACCTTCATGACACATTTCTAAAGATGCTGCCGTCTGAATTATCTGTGGTTTCAGAACTCCCAATGCTTTCAGTTTGTGTCCTCAAATATCTTTACAATACCCTTCTTTTCTCATGAGCCTCGGTTTTCAAATCAAAGTTTATTAAAATGTCAAAAATAGAACTTACAGTTTCACATATGAAATAAGAGGGCATACATAGTACAGGCCTTTAGTAACAAAATAGGTGAATAATGCTTAACAGCTAAAGCGGGTGGGTGACATCACCGGTCATTAACATACAATCTCAGGTTAGGAAGATCTACACACTAATGCAAACATGCTCGTACATATCCGAGGGGGAGCAGGTCGGTGGAGAGCGAGGAAGCAGGCTGCCATGGGGAGAGGGAATAGATGCATCTCAGCAGCAGAGACTGGCGCAGACTCCTCCAGTACCCATGTACTGGAGGGAACGTAAGATGAACCAAAATGTTTATGGAATAAGACTTTCTTTTCTTTTTAAAGCCTCCTAAATCTGAAGAGCACAATTCAAGGGCCCATCTGAGAACCTGACTCGTTGCTAAAAGATAAACCAGCGACTCAGGCAAAAAGCTCCTGCTGGAGAAGCCCCGGTTCTGTTTTACTCGCCAGGGGTTGTTGCTCAGTTCTGAGGTGAATTTCTTGTTCTCACATCAGTAACTGCCTAATTTCTAGCAATCATCAGAAAGGAACATTCAAAAGATTTGATACTGAGTCCTTAATTGCCCTTTCTGTTAAAAATTAAATACTTGAGTCATCTGAATATTCAAGAAAGACAACATAAATACAAAAGCATGTACATAATGAAAAACATATACTGAATTTCTTAACCATACCACTCAATCAACTACTATATAGTGACTAATTATTTCTCATTCTAGCTTACCAGCTTATTTGTGAAATTCCATTCCTCCTACCTATCCAGTACCTTGGAGAACTAGGAAAGCTCACGGATGTTTTGTGATATGGCTGAAGTCCTTCACTGAGCCGTGTTCTTCGTGCTCCTTGTGCTCTTCCCCCTAGTGAGCAGCACAAGGCACGGATGTCAGTACTTGCTGCTTGAGATGGAGTCCTGAATGTTCTTCACCCTGCAAAGGAGCCCTCTGCATGGCTCAAACTACACTGATCCTTAAGGGGAGCAAAACTACTTTTTTTAACTCTTTCTCAAAGGTTACCCCCAGCCTTTTCATGGCATATATATGGGTAGCCAGAGCTCTGGGGAAATTTGTTATGATTAGATTTCTCCATCTTTGTGCATATGCATGCTGATTCCTGGCAATTAGATCAAACAGACAGCACTGGATTACTTCTAAGACAAGCTTAACACAAAATACAAACTGCAATTCAGTTCAATACATTAATAATAATTAAAAAAAATCACCACAGTCAGTTAAAACCACAAGGCCATCAACATTATCTGCCAGCAGCCAGGCCCTTGTGTATGGCTACACCAATTAAAAAGAGTCAAAGTTCCTGCTAGTGACTCTCTACTAGTAACAAAAATGTATGAAATCCTGGTAAAACTACCCAAGACTACCATTACATGAGAAGCTATTCCAGTACAAGTATGTAATCTAAGCTAGGGCATGGCTGATTGCATACATTTGTGCTACATATCAAAGCTACTTTAATAAAGTTTTAGAAGAAAGTAAAACCGAGAAGCAGCCACGTGTACCTCTGGGGCAGCACTGCCTGCCACGTTCTACAGCTGAACGCCACCTCCTCCCTCTCATTAGCGTCCACACGAGCAGCACGAGTAGGCACGTTTCAGATCCGCGGGGGGAACTTGCTTTCATCTGTACAACCCACTTCAACTGCGCAGCGTAAGAGGGAACTCGGCAGTAACGTCCCCTGGATCACACCCCTTCCCCGACCTTTCTCTTTTCATTTGTGGCATGGTACAGGAGACTTTCCATTTGACTTTATAAGGTAACTTTAAAAACCATAAAGCGTTTATGAATTAGTGAGAAGGCAAACAAAGGGAAGGAGAGGAAATTAATACTTTAGTGGAGATAATCTTCTCAAATTTTATCTAACTGTACTGCTAGGCCAGCTTACATTTTCCATTTGAAGTCATTTTACTTAAGGGATGATGAGTTGAGATCAACCAAAACTTTTATGCGTTATCTAAGTTCTGTTTTACAAAAGGCATCTATTAATAAGTTAGCAACTCATTATGCTTTATCAAGCAGAAGACAGAAATCTGGTTCCTAGTGGAAATCCAGGTCCAATTCTGAGTTTGGCTGAGGAGGCAATTCTGTGTGCAAACCTCATATTAAAGTTTGGGTTTATTCCAGCTTGCAACCCTGGGTCAGGCTGGGTTCCTGCACACACCATCACGCACAATAAACTCTCTGACACTGGAATTTAAGATGTCATTTTTGTTGCTAATTCACAAGGCACCACAGAGCCCAATTTCCTCCATGATTATGCAGACAATGAAAACAGTTTGTTCACTAAAATAAGCAAATATGACTTCAAGACACTCAGGGAGGAAACCTGGGGCATTTTACATAGCAGACTTTTTTTTTCCCCTCTCTCACTAAAACAACAAGTCAAATACTTCCACAAAAGCCAGGATAAATTTTTGTTTGCAGCTACATTAGAAACCTGTACCTGAAAGTATATGCCACATCAATCCACAATGACAGACCTACTTTTTAAGTGGCTAGAAAATACTATTTTATACAGATGCTCTTATTGCACAAATCTGTGCAATCGGAGATTTAACTAAAAATCAGACACATTGCAAAAACTGGGGAAAAAGAAAAAAATCCTAGAAAACCTCCAGCGCTATGATACAAGATGTGTTTGCACAGTGAAAGCTCCAGTCAAAATTCTGCAAGAGGACATTCAAAAGTGCCTGCATCATTCAGGAGCACACCCACCACTCTGAATTTAAATTTCATATACAAAAATGTCATTTCTTGTTTCTGGTCTAAAGCATCCCTTCATTTGCCTGGTGAAACAGACACCAGCACTGAGCCTCTTGGATCGTCCGTCCCGTGTCCACCGACCAAGGGGCTCCTCATACCCTGTCCTGCCAACGCCTCTGGTCCAACAGTGATGGGTTTTGTGCAAATCAGGTGGTGGGGGGTGATAAACAGAGTGGTCTCAAAGGAACAAGCACATCGGAAAAGCCTCTCTCTACAGATAGGCAGGTACATGGAAATTCCTGATGGGGTCTGAAATGCTTTTACAAGTCAGTAGCCCTTTATGGGCCCAGGGCACTCTGAAGCTGCAGGAAAACTTCCACTGCACGCAGCAGGGCTGCTCACATTTGCATCTGGGAGCACAAAAGTTTGCAGGACTAAAGCCTTAACACAAACCACTGTAAAGTCCATCCAAGTCTGTTCTTCCCAGAGCCAGATCTAGCTTCTGTGTTTGTCTTTTGTAGATGAAAAAAAAAAAATTTCCATAGGAAACTGATTATCGCTTTCTCCCCTCCCATTCTAATATTTTGGCACAAATGCATATGATATTCAATGCAGATATAAAGAAACAGATAATTGGATAGCACTGACAAAGTTATGAGACTTATTTGGCAAATTTGAACCATAAAAACAAGTGCTAGGGGTTTTTTCCAGTTGTGGAAGTTGTCTGCCATGACAGTTGCTGCAGGGAAAAAAAATATTAAACAGTCTGGAGCATGTATGTTTAAAATGAACATTTTATAATACAAGTAAATACACACTCTCCCAATTTCTCCAGGCAAAAACACATCTCAGAGCATTTTAATCAGCTGAAATAAGTTTTAAACAAGAGGGAGTTTGTGTCTGAGATGCCCTGGTTTGTGTGCAGTCACATGTGACAGCATGGGATAAGCTATTAAATTGCACATTCTGAAAATGGCAGCAAGGGGCTGTTCACTTCCATCACTAGAGCAGACCTGGACACTGAATTCACTAAGCCCCTAAAACTTCAGAAGTGGCAGATACCGTTCAACATACTGAGAAAATAGAATACAAACTTTCTGTAGTTAATGCAAATAGACTGCACAATAACGAAGGCTTTGACTTATCCATCTCCCCACATGACAAATGTCTGTCTGTGAGCAGCTCAAGTCAAAAGTTAATGCAGCAACATCAGAAGGAGTCTTAAGTTTGGCCTTTTGCTTCATGTCAATCCAGTCTGAGACCATCAGAGTTATCAGCTGCATCCCTCAGGCATGAAGCAAGACTCTGCCTCCTTATAGTAGTCCAGTGTGGGAAATTAGTTCCTTTTGGGAACATTACTGGGGGAATCAGTTCTTGTGTGTGCTTTAAATGCTTCCTTCTCCCCCCTGCTGCTGCAGTTGCAGGGAGCACAGCTGTGGATCAGGTAGATGGTGACAAGAATCTATGAGCAAGAGTCACCCCAAGGTCCCACGGTGTCTGGCTTTCCAGAGATGCTGCAGGCCACGCGCCTGGAGCTGTGTGAGGCAAATGGAAAGTTTCCTCCGAGCCGTCAGTGGCTCCTGAGTGCTCACAACAGCGTGGAGCGAGTGGCCAGACAGGCATGACACGGCTGGAGGCAGAGCATTGGCTTCTCTCCGCTGAAACAAAGTCCAGTTTTCTATTGTGATAAACTTCAGCTTCAAATTCTAACTGCAATGGCCCATAGCATTGTAACCAAAGTGCTAACAGTTTCAGTGGAAGTGGCTTAAATGGGTATTTAATTTAAAACAAAACAAAGAAAACCCACCTTTTTTTTTTTTTTTTTTTTTTTTTTTTTTTTTTTTCACTTCAATAACTGGGAATTTGTTTACTATGCACTCCGCATTTTGCTAAGGGTTAAGCCAATTCCATTTTCCAGAGGCTTTGTTCCCCCCACCCACCCCCAGGAGATGTTTCCTTAAGAGACACTGGAACAACGAATACTTGGGGAGCCCATTTGTGTAAGGACCTTGTCTAGCCACTGCAAAGGACCATTAAGATGCAGTTCAATCCAGCAGGGAGTACTGGTCACAGTCTGCCGCCTACAAGAAAGAAGGGGTTGGGGGGAGAGAAGAAAAAAAAGAACATAAATGTGACTTACAAAACACTACAAATGTGAAAAGGTTTTACAGCTACTGAAGCATTCTTTCCTGCTTAGACAATAGTCTTGCATGTGGGGCCAAAGGAATGTTTCTCTCCACTATAACATGCTTTTGGCCTATGCTGCCAACTTCTTTTAAAACCCTACCTTTTCTCTTTACGTTTCTTAAGATCCCAAGGGAGCAACTCACTATATAACCTATTTACTACTCAGATTCCTGAAAACAGGCAGCATCTGATTCCCTGAAGAGAAACAAAGGTGTTTATCTAAGCAAAAGTCTAGTTTTATTTTGCAGACCTTGCCTCTCCTAATTAGAAAGCAACGTAAGCAGTTTACCAAATACATTACATTTCTCTGTGTATAAGGACGTTCTCTTTTTACCATGTCTTTAGGTTTTAGCAAAATGTGGAAGTGATGGCGAGAGATCAGCACTCAGCCCTTCAGAGTCCCTCCTGCAGCCCTGCAGAGCCCGCTCCCTCGCGTGGCCTGAGCTGCTGCTGAACATCCTTTTTGCCCAGCTTGGGAGGAAGCGCCAGAGGTTTGAACCCTACGCTACACAGTGTGGGCCACTCCAACAGATTTGCATTTGATCACCGCCTCAGAAGAAGCAGAAATGCTGAAGAGTGTAAAGAGTTGCAAAACCTGACAGAAAAGCAGAAACGTGGTATTAAACCATGTGTTTTAAAATCCCTCAAGACTTAGTGGCTGTGGCCAGGAGAGGGGGATGCCTTGCTGGGTCAGCGCACAGCACGCTTTGACTTTCCCCTGCCACAAAGGGCCTTCCCCCTCTCCTGTCTGCCTCGCCCTGAGGCCAGACCCCATGGAGTGTCTCCAGATGGTAAAGCGGGAAGAGATGAGGAGAAAAGAAAGGGAAGTGAGGCCAAGGCACGGGGCTCTCCCTCCTCTGCCAAGGGATGGCCTAAGTCTTGTTCCAGGCAGAGAGGCAGGGACAGCTGCTGTGGAGGAGGAAGATTATGAGGAGAAAGAAATAGCCTGGAAACAGCCTTGTTTTACACCCTCATTTCCCACAGAAGCTGTCCTTGGAATCTGTTTGTGGGAGGGAGAAGCCAAAGCCTGCAGGGCCCAGGGAGAAGCTGCTGCTGAGAAGGGGAACCCCTGCTCTGAGGGGCTGTCCTGCACTCTCCTTTCAGGGCAGGAGAGAGGAGCAGGGTTCGGGGGTACAGCTCTGCAAGGCCTTGGCCAAGGGCTGTAACCCATTCTGTTGATGAATCTGTATCTCTCATCCTTTGAACTGAAAATGGCAGCGGCTCCCTGAAGGCACCCCACCCATTCCCAGCTCAGGCGGGGCTGCCCGGAGCTGCCAGGCCAGGCGATGCCCCAAGAGTGGGCGTTTGGGCAGGGCTCGTCCTCAACAGCAACTTCACGGTGCATGTTGTGCACTAAAGGGTGTCCCATGAGCTGTTTGGGCAGGAGGACTGTGGGACACTTCTTGCTCTGTCAGCTTCTGTGAAGCGTGCAAATCCCTCAGGTCCCAGGAAAAACAAGCCTCTCTTAATTTAACACAGAACGTTCCCCTTTGCTGCCTGAAGCCAGCCTAACACTGAGCAGTCCAACAACTGGCCCAGCAACACTGTACAGAAACCCACTACCCGTGGGGCTGCCGCGCTTCTGCCCTCTGCAAATCTATCATGGCAAACTCCGTTCTGCCTTCCCAGCTGGACCAACACGTTGGCTGAAGCCTTTCAGAAAGCTCTGTGGGCCTTCGGCTTGCTCCACAGGGCTCTCAGTGGACGGACGAGAACCTCTGTATCACAGGCTGCTTATGCAATTGGCTTCTCCCCTGCTTCCCTCCACAAATCCCTGGCACACAAAAGCACTACACATCCCACCAATTAGTTTGCTCAAAAGGCTAAGCAGCCGAACCAGAAATCACTGAATAGTGCTCTGGATGCAGCTCCCAGAGTAACATTTTCATATATGAATCAGTTCTACACATAAACGTGCTCTGACAAAGGCAGTCAGATGTAGTATTTTGTGGCAAGGAAATGAAGGAGCAAGAGAGCAGCTTCGGCGCGGTCAGCGTGAGCGTAGGGTTTCACTGACTACAATACTCTAATGAGATAGTTGACTTTCCGTAAGTCATGCTCATCTGGATTTCATTACAAGCTGTGGCTGTGAGCCAGGGCTGAAATGCTCTGGCCCGGGTGCAGGACAATTTCAAAACAAAATGGACTCCAAGCATCTGGAGAAATGAAGAAAGTGGGAGAGCACTGTGCAGGGCCCAGGCTCCAGCTGACCCTGCGGCATCTCCCCTGTCTGCTGCAGGCAGCTGTGCAAGGGCAGCATCGGGCCGGCAGCCTCGCTGCTCCGGGAGGCACGGACTGCCCCCAGATTTTCAAATAAGGCCATGGATTTAAAGGGTGCACAGTCAAGTTAAGTATTTCAAAATCACATTTGGCTTAAATCCTTGCCAGCTTTCTTTCTCATAAAACGACATTCATTTTCCAATGAATTTCGTCTCCCTTACTTATCCTATTAAACACTGATTTCACTCCCTTTGCTACTTCGGGACGTTCGCTTGCTAACGCAGCAACACAAGCTATGGAGTTCTCTGTCCCTCACACTGTTTCCACTGTTCTGTGTTGTCAGAACCACCACACCATCACTCCCAAACATCAGACCCTACTGCATCTCCTTTTTTATCTTCAATATTCACTGAGAAAACTAGTAACCCTGTTTTTCGCACTGCCTCTGGTCACATTTAAGCAATTGCCCTGAGACAAGCACTAAGGAAAGGATGAGAAGATTCAACTATAATTTTGTAGCCATTCTAATAGTTCTTCCAAATGTAAATTTTCAAGCCAATCTGCTTTTATTTTAATCCTATTAGTCCCTGATAAAAGAAGCATCAAACCTAACCCACAGAATCCCAGAATCATCTCTGTTGGAAAAGCCCTTGAAGATCATCCAGTCCAGCCATGAACCTCACACTGACCGTTGTCAACTCCACCAGATCCCTCAGCACTGAGTCAACCGACTCTTCAACTCCTCCAGGGATGGGGACTCCCCCCCTGCCCTGGGCAGCCCATTCCAACGACCAACAACCCCTTCTGGAAAGAAATACTTCCTAAGAGCCAGCCTGACCCTGCCCTGGTGCAGCTTGAGGCCATTCCCTCTTGTCCTGTTGTGTGTTCCTTGGTTCGAGAGACTCATCCCCCATCTCTGCACCCTCCTTTCAGGCAGTTGTAGAGGGTGATGAGGTCTCCCCTCAGCCTCCTCTTCTCCAGACTAAACCCCCCCAGTTCCCTCAGCTGCTCCTCATAAAACATAACAATTAGGAGGCACACTGACACTGTTCTGATAACAGTATATTCATAAGACACTCAAACTATCAAATATACATCTAATTATAAGAAAAAAAATGTCAAAGTTCTGATACAGGCCATATGGATTTATCTACTGTGCTGCAGGTAAAGCTCTTGGTTTGTACAACACTGTGACCAAATACTGTGGTCTTCCAGGTGTATCCCATGATGTACATTTTACACAAATAGGTTGGAAAAAACAAGACAAGAGATCAACAGGTTCGCAACAACTACAACATACCAGCATTACTGAAGAGACACTGCACTAATTCCCCCCATCTTAAAAGCTGAGTAAAGAAGCTCTGCAGAACGCTATCCTAGACTGCAAAATGCAGGAGTGGCAGTGGCAAGCACAAGCATACCACCAAGTTTCACTCAAAAGGCCTGACCTGTATTCTGCTCCCCATCCCTTGACAAAGCTCATTCGAATTGTGCACATTCTGGTCAGCTGGTACACGGCTTCAAAGCCCTGATTTACAGACTGAGCCAAGAGAGCGGCGAATTCCTGGTTGTTAAAAATCTTCAGGTTACATCCTGTGAAAAAAGAACATGACAAGAAATGAGGCATTAGCTTAACTAGATTAAGAAATCCATTTCTTTCTGAGGATGGAAAGAAACTCCAGTATTGCTTTCCTATACCCTCACATCATGCGATACTATACACAGATTGTTTAAACACAGTATCTCAGAAAAAGGAATCAAGGTTGCCACATTTTCGCAGCTCATATGCTGAAAAGGAAGAAAACCATGTTCAGGACAGAGAATGATGAATGCTAGTGCCCACACAGCAGATTGTGATCTATGAGGCCAGACTTGGGATTCTCATGTGGAACTTCCTTCTATCTCCTTTACAGTCATTTCCCTCATATTGTAATTTAAAAGCCTAACTATGACCATAACACTTAACAACGGCAATCGCTACAGGGCCTGAAAGAAAGGAACACACAGGCTAAAACCAGGAACTCACTGGTGTTTGATTTACAGGGTGTCCGTCAGCAGAAGTGATGGAGAAGCTCTGGAATGAAACTGCTCTGGCAAGCCAGAAATCAGTTATCAGGGTTAAAAAGGCTGGTAGTAGAGCTGCTGCTATAATCGTCTCTTAAATATAACTATCATGCGCCAAAGAATTTTCCTTTAAAACTGGAGTTTCCCCTCAGTGTTCAGTCCCAGATAAAAGACTGAGAACAACTTAGTCAACTGGTTTTAGGTAAGAAAGGTGAACTGTAACAACATTTTTCATAGTTCAAATAAATAAATAAATACACAACTTTAAAAAAAGTGTTGTCATGCTTGCTTTCTCCCAGATAACCAGACACAAGTTAAACTCTGAAATTTGGCACGCAACTGATGCTCCTTTGGGATTACATGTGGGCCAAGTCTGAAAAACAACCATTTGGACTGTGATGAATTGTATTTTTCTAAAATCACATCTGAGCCTACTCTCTTGGGCTGGACTCATACTGTCATCTGTTTTGGGCCGAACTGCATATAGCAAAGCATAACCGCACACAGCAGCTCAGCAGCTGCAGAAACAACTACCCATTTTTGTGACCGTAAAAGAGCACAGCCCAAGAGCCATGTACAGAGAGTTTGACGGGAAGCTGTGTCAGGCATGTTGCAGTCTAAGGCAGGAAAGTAAGAAAGGTGAGAGCATCAGAGCCAGATTGAGCACAGAGAAAGAGATGTATCAAGGAAAGCAGAAAACTTGATCAGGATCAGACTGCTAAGCTGCTCAGACTTCAGGACTGGGTGGGAACAGGTCTCTCCACGACTGTGCCTGGGAGAAGCAGGGACAACCTGATCTCGTCAACCAGGGAATGAAGAAACTGCTTCAAACCCAGCAAGGATTTGAAGATGAGTCTGAGAAGACAGTCAAAGATTGTGGCAAAAGTGGGGAGAGCTGGAGTCCAAAAACTGCGCCTCAGAGATTAATCTAAAGCGGAAATGTGGGTTGTTTATGTCTTCAGATGTTGACTCGAGCTGGGGTGGACTCTTGTGATGTGGCTGGAGAATTAAGTCATGTTTGCAATACTGGCAGCTGCTTCCTAAGCATCTGAGAAAGGAAACCCAGTAAGATGGGCCAGAGCTTTCAGTGTATGGATCTCTTCCCAAAAGAAAGACTATCTTTATTCAACTATTTCTAAACAAAAAAGTTTGGTTTTTAAATATATACATACTTTTAAATGAAAAAAAAAAAATCGCTTTTGTAAGCCCAGTTAAACAGTTCCCTTTCAAATTACACCCTCTCATACTAGCTCTTCTGCTTGGTTCTTCCTAGACAGTTGCAATAAATTCTCTTTTAATCTTTCAGCAAACTTTTAACATACATTTGCTATAACCAGAACAACAAGGTGCCTGCAAATATGATTTCCCTAGAATAATTCACGGGGTGGGGGGGGAATTTTACTACAGAACAGAAAAAAAGTAAAAATCTATCTATTATGAGCACATCTAAATTAAGAAAAAATTCTAACGCTATATTCTTTTAGTTGAAGATACAAACGTAATTATAAACATGACTATCAGATAATTACAGTACAGTAACAGACTGATAAAACACCGTATAGAACAAGTGGCAGATTCTGCTCTTAGTTCTACTTAGATCCTGAATCCTACTTCTGTGAATGCAGTGCAAACAACTGTTGGAGCATACAGAGTAGCTTCCTTTACCAGACCTTTATCCTGCGTGCTATAAAAAATGCCCTGCGAGATTTGTCAAGTTGCATAAAATAGAGTTCAAGTTTTTGATTATTGTCAAGAATGAAGCTCAGCAAACCCTTGACAAAGTGCCTACCTTGACAAAGAGCTGGCTTTCCACAGAAGCCTCCATTGGCCTACCTCCTTACCTGGTGGAATCTTGCACACTGTTGCTGGGTGCCAGCCGTAGCGCTGGTTGCAGTTGGGAGACTGGACAAAAATGGCACTGTCACTAAGGCACTCGGCAAACACCTCACCGCCAATGTAGTAGAGTCTTACTCCTCTTCCTAGGAAACACAGGGCACAGTTTTGGTTTAGCTTAGAACAATCATCTGCAAAATCTGCAAGTAGAGCTGGTAGAGATGAAGACAACCTCTGCATGAGACAGCTCTCAAGAAAACAGCTAAACTATGAAAGATGGAAAAAGAAACCCAAACCTCTTTTGGCCCACTGGGATACTCCCATCAGGGAACAGTAAATCTGCTCTGTGAGGGAGTTAAGCTGAGGAAGGCGGGAGGAACAATTTATAAAGTCAGAATTGCTCTCTCCGGCACCGCTGTCAATCACAGCCTGGACGGCATTAAATTTACCACCTTGCAGCCTGCTTGCTCCAAACATACATGTGTCTGATATTTTCCATATGAATGTTCTATCAGTTAACATATGGTTTTCAACCTTTTCTGAAAGTCACTGCAGCTGAATACAACTGTTTATTTACCCAGTGATTTGGAATTAAATTATACAACGTTTTCAAATCATTGCCTTTTGCCTGAGATTACAAGGACAAACACACAGTCCCCATAGGAGTTTACACAAATTATTAAAATCTCAGTTAATAAAGAAACAAATTTCAGGAATACATCTTTGTTGCTCAAACATTTGCTGTGGTCTTACATTCCTATTTGAATATCTTGCTTTCATTCTTCCATAGAGCACAAGGACCCTGCTGAAATTAAAGACTGATTTCTGAATCCTGGTGGGTTTTTTTTGGGTTGGAGTTTTCTTGGTGCTAGAAATCATATCAGAAACAAGCAACAAAAGAGCCTCCTGTACAAAGTTTACTGCTCAGGAAAGGGTATAAAGGGGAGCAAAATCCGGAAAAAAAGCAGGTTCATTTTTGATAGAAGTAAGCAGAAAACACAGCAAAGCATAAGCAATTTTTGCCTTTTATTAAAATTGCATAAATCTGGGATATTCTATTTAGCGCAAATTTAACTAAAGACGAGATTTAATGTTACCTTGCAATAGAAGCAGGAAAGGTGGAAATTGAGATGAAAATCAAGGAACAAAGTTTCCATTTCTAAAAGTACAGTCAGTCAGAAAATAAAATAGTGCAGGAGGGAAAAGAAATACACAAGTTTATCACTAACATCCATCCAAATACAGAAGAGTGCATGTAAAAGTTTACATTCTCTCTATATGACATGCAGCAATTTTATTATACTTTTATGAAAAAATATGTGTTCCTTTATGGAAGATTAGCCTGTGAAACCACCATGGATATTCAAAGACAGCAGTGTTCTAAAACTGACCAAGCTGCATGCTGATTAGCTAAAGAAAAAGCTTTACATACAGGTTTCCTCATTCCACCTTGAAAGACACTGACTAAAACAAGGAAATAAAAATTACCAATGTGTCGTCTTGTGAGTTCCACTGCTGCATTTCTGTTCACATTAGACAGCAAACCAAGGCAGAAGCGTTCAGAATTAGATGGGTCAGTGAAACCATCCACGGTCATAGAGGGTTGAGAGGCATGGAAAGTCTCTCCCACTCGCTGGTTGAGTTCATAGTAGGATATCGAGCACCAGAAAGCTGGCTCGCAGTAGGTAACAGGCTGCAGATCTGCACAAAATAAAAAGCAAAATGAGTCACAGGCCCTCAGGAGGGGAAGGGGAGATGAAAAAAATGAACCATTTTGAAATATTGTTCTGCTTCATTCCTTGGGCTCAATTTAACCACCAAACTTTAATTACTTGATAGGTTTTAATGGACCACAGCTAGAAAGTTAGGTCACCCCTGAAGCTTTTGGCACATGGAACAATCACAAATAGTCAAAGATATTAGTCACTTAGAAAGTGGGGTGTCACTTAACTATCTTCATACTTGGAGAAAATTTAAAAAATAAACTTAGCTTTACTATGAAACGTGAGATCATTTTTAGGTCGCCAGTACCCTAAAAAGAGAAAAGGGGAGAAAAGGAAGAAACAGAAAAACCTCGTAAAGAGCAGATCACAAACCTGCTTTCAACAACACAGGTCTCCCTAATGCTGAGCACGTACACCAAGCAGCCAGCAAGTCCAACTGTCATTTGTACTGACTCTGTTATGATCTCTCTAGTGCTGATGAAACAGAGTTGTCTGCAATGTGCACCATTGTATGTAATACTGGCATCAAAGTGATTAAAAAAATTAGATACTTTCTTCCAGTGCACTTGATCTCAAACTATCAAAAGAAAATGCATTTCCCAATAGATGATGGCACATCTCTTTTACTGGGGTTATGGTTTGACACAGCCTGTGGACCAAAAGGCCCAAAGTTCATGAGCAGACTAAGGCTGAGCCAGTCACGGGAAGACAATACTTCATATGCATGAAAGGTGGGACATTCGAATGGCATCAAATGATTTAACTGCTCCCATTAAAGCCAATGAGATTTCAGCAGAGGAAGACTCAAGTCAAATATTCGTGGAAATGCTGCACTGGATGGTGCCCAGTCCCACTGCAAGCCAAGAATCTGCAGAGCAGAGAAAGTGGAAAGCAGACTAAACTAATTGATGTGTGCTATTCCCCACAATCAAGGCAAGAAATAAAAGCAAAATAAGAATTCCCTCCAGTCCTTCCCCCCAATTTATCACTTCATCCCCATTCAAATGGTGCTTAAAAGCAGAACAGAACTGCCTTCCATCTGGCCAAAGAGTTAACATCAAGCAGCAAACCCCCAGCTTTTTCCATAGGCTTAGGTGAATCTGGGGCTTAAGAGATCAGCTCCAAAAAATCAAAGACAGGTTTTTATCATCCCAACCTCCTCTCACAGAGGAGAGTGTCTCTACAGAGGTTTGAGAGTAATTTCTCATCTGGTTCCTAATGTTCTCGATGACCTTTAGGAACAGGTTGAAGCAGCCTGGCTTCAGCCAAAAGACGTGCTAGTTTCCTCTCCATTACTGTGGTGCACGAGTTCCCAAAGTAGCTAATAATCAGAAAATGGTTGCTGCTTTGCTACAAGCTTTGCTGACAGCAAATAATGAATTGAACAGAAGTGCATCTGGGGAACTCTAATCCTTATCACATCTTCAAAGTCTGTGAATTTTGGAGCTTACACCCATTCCCAGCTTCTTTCACAGTCTCTCTCTTTTCTTAATTATATCATCTGAAAGAAAAATGATCTATCACAAGCAAAGCTCGATGTTCCTGCTCTCCTCCACACATTACACCCACAAAAGAAAAAGCGTATCTTCCTCTTACGGAAAAGGACATAGGCTCAAAGCAAAAGCTAACAGAAGGCAGCTCAATAGAACAGGGGTCATTACATCAATTTAAGAGATCTGGTAAGCACTCCTGCTGTTTCTTCACATTTTAAACAATTTTTTAGCTTAAAGCAAGCCCCTATCCTGACATGCACAGATGATACTGAACACATTCAGGAGTCACACAAGTTTACCATCTCTGCCTTTTTCTCTTGTATGACACATTTGGTTGTCCCGCTGGAAACTGCCACATCAGGCATATTTCCCCAATACCAGCCTCATTTCACCAATTAGTGGTTGTGGCCCACAGCAGTAGTCTATACACATCACAACTGGCTCTGGGCTTCACATGACTCCAGTGCAATTTGTATAGAGGTACAGCAAATACCAGCACTAATCAGTGTCTTAAGGTGTGCCCACCCACTTAAGAAAACAGATTGTGTTCCACATGACTGTGCTCTTATTCCACAGCAAGTGCCTTTCTAATTGAAAGGCTGCTGAGCTCCAGAAAAAAATCAAATCAACTTTTGTTGATCCTTAAGTAATGTCCTCAGACTGGTACTATTCAAGTTATAAAAAGACCAAAGCCTGTGTTGCTCTCTATGGTTTCGTGGTCCTTCCCTACAGAAACCACCTCCGCTTGGTTGGGACTCAAGGGAACTGTGGATTCCCCACCGAAGGATGTACGGACATTTTATTTCCAGCTTATTTGCAACTTGAGGAAAGACACAAACCAACAAATCCTATTTTGAAGAAAAACTTGTCTCTAAAAAATGCAACCAAGCTTTTAGTGATGCTGCTTTCTCCTGTGATTTTCGGTCTTAGGCTCAGCTTAAGCTGTCATGGGATGGGCAAGTTTCCCCTTGTGTTAGAGCTGTCCTGAATATTCATTTTTAATTTATGGATTTACTGCTGGGGGAGAAGTAAGAGAATGCAGCTCTGCTAAAGCCAAAGAATCCTGAGGGTGTACACAATCAACTAAAACATGATGCATTAAACCCAAGAAAATCCTGCCTGAATCATCTCTACACAATCTCAACCTTGAGTCACTACAGCTTTGCTTTCACAAGTGTCTGCTGAGTACTGGGATGCTGCATCTTCCCATACTGCATCTTCCCTACGACATGAAAGTACTATCTCTACAGCTGTGGAGGATAAAATATCTGCTGGCTGTTTTGCACCTACACTGTGTGCTCTAAGCGTAAGAGCAGTTGTGATCCTAGTTTCAGTAATGCATTTGATACACAGTGTGTATCAAAAATTACTGATGTTACCCAGCTGTATTAGTTACAGCCACATTCATTCTAACTCCCTCCAGAGACAAAGATAAAGAGGTGTGCACACTCCCTTCCCCTCTGTACCTTGAGAAGGGTTGTCTCTTCGCTGCTTTGGGAAATAGTGTTTCAACACAGGGAGTAACAGAGGCTTATGTTACTGATGGATTTGACCACAGGGTATGTGCTTATTTTACTTACAGCTTTTGCGTCAAGTCTTTTGCGGAGCAAACACGGACAATGGATTTCCTGTACGCCAAGGGACTGCCTCACTCCAAAATAACAATACGCATGCAACCTCAGGCCTGGCCCTCGGCCAGCGTAAACTCTCTGACTTCATTCCAAACGTCCACATAATGCTGGCAACTCTCCTTTCATTTTGGTTGTTTTCTGTATTTTCTCCAGTTCATATTTCAGTAATACAGACAAGATAATTGGACATCTATAATTTCCATTTAAAGCTTATGTTTGACAACTGAAAATTTGACAAGCAGAAGTTTGGACCAAAACTCAAATGCTACCAAATCAAACGCACAAGCTGAAAAGGGGGAAAAAAAAAAAATCCCAATATGTTACCTTGCAACACTATTGCGCCTGTGAATGGAAAGATGAAACTCCCTAAATTCCTTCAAGCCCATACTACATTCTTACAGCTTTATGCTGAACTACATACATTGCACCTCAAACAAACCCCGCTTCTATTGTCCTAGCTGGTTTGCCTCATGCTAGTTTATTGCCTTTGTAATTCTCTGGAATATGGCCACAGGATTTAAGTCCAAAGTTCAGCTTACACAATGCAAACTCTCTTAAAAGCTTCAGGTAGTTCTGGTCAAATAAATGGAGATCAATACTGTGACATTATTTTCTTAATGGCAAAACTGCAAAAACCCACCACGCTGCTGCTGAGAACTTGCTGATAATTTTCCCCACTGCACGCTGTTGTGTTTTTAAAATTTCTATCCAATTTTCTTAACACACACATAGAGAAAGCCTGATTAAACTTCTGCAGATCAAAGTACAGCCCTAGACACTGGAGCGTTCTGCTTATCCATGGAATTACATAGCCCAGCAAAAGCAGGAGCACTGCAGGCCACCAGCACCAACTAACTTCCGTCTAACTGGAGAGAGGACCTGCAAAGCTGAGGAAACATTCTGCCCTCACAGCCTCTGCAACCCCTTTTGGGCTGCAGGGACTGTGAGGCTGAAGGTCTGATGGGCTGCTGGTGTTTTCACCCACACTGCTATAAGCAGCCCCTTACTTCATATATGCCATCTACAAGGTACAAATGATAAATTTTGTCATTTAACAGTTGTTAAGAGTTGCTCAGCAATGTGCCATTTCATTTATTATTTTGTAGCTTACGTGCAAAAATTTACAATAAAACTTTTAAAAAGAGACAAGAAGTTCTTAATTTGTGGAAGCTCTTGCCTAAATATGTGGTTTGCAATTTTTCTTTTAACATTGATAAGTTAGAATGCTCTTCTGATGTCTGCTCCTTAGACTACAAAGAGATTTCTTGCTGTTAACCAGCTTCACCTGCTCCTACTTAGCTTTTTTCACCAGACAGCACATTAGACATCTGACAGACCCATCAGCTGAGCAGCATGTGTTAATAACCAGTGTCCTTGTTAGAAAGGATATGCGTTGAGGCCTCTTTCCTAGAAACTCCTTTTTTCCTTATGTAAGGCAGATGCCACAGTCAACTTGCCAGGTTGGTTTTGTTACATGTAATTGGCCTTTTAGTTTTAGGTTGAAAAAAATTGCTAGAAATTCTCATCAACTCCTAGGCAGGACACTGAAGCATAGTGGATTCAAACAAGAAAAGAAAAAAGGAAATAAAGGTAAGTCAGCCATGTATTCTCTTCTTAGGCTTTAACAGTTAAAGCAAATAAAAATTTAGTGGCACTGTGGCAATATATCCCACTCTTTAAAAAAAAAGAAAAAAAAAAAAAAGAAGAGAAAAAGAAATCCCCTCTTCAACAGCCCCAATATATCCACAAGCCAGCCAATGACTGACAAATTTTGGAGCAGTGTCAAAGTACTCTGTGCCAGGATTAAAAGCATATGTAAACTTTATGGCTATGGTTATTCAAGAGTAATCTCAAGTGGCCTCTGTCTGCTGGCTTAATGAACATTTAGAGAACTGATCCTGCAGCTAGCCAGAGCCATGAGTGCTTTTTATGACAGACCGTTGAGAGCAATTTCAAATAGGGTAAGAGCTCAAACTGATGAAGATCAGACCTTTTATGTCTGTAGGTATGAAAATAAAGGACAGGGCCATTTGAGAAGACAACAGAGTTTCAGAGATAGCCACAAAACCTCTAATAATACCTCAAAAGTAAAGGAATTCAACTGCTATTCCTTCTTCTTCAGCTCTCTTCCTATCTACTGTCTACAGCTTATGGAGTGAATCAGCGACAGCACTGGCCTACTAGGACTGGCCTGTGCTCCATTTGAGCACCAACCAACTGGCCTCCTCTGCTTTGCTCTGCTCAGTTCATGCTCAGTTTCACACTAGAACAACTTACACACTTGGGCCATCAGTTTGTTCTGGTGGTTCAGTGCACTGGGACAAGAGGGCTCTGAGCTGCTTTACCCTGGTGGGGTCTAGGGCTGCCCCTCAGGTAAACTGACCCTGTGGTCTGACACTAGCCCAGCACTTGTAGTTTTGTTAGTGTAACTGCAGGCTTGCTCTGCTGGGGACATGGGTTTTCTCCTGAGCTGGGTTTACATGAGGATGTACTGAATTTTCTGCCCCTCAGACAAGCAGATGATTGCCAGAGCTGACAAAGCAGCACAGGCAAATCTGTTGCTCTGAACCTCAGTCCCCTGTCCACAATATGTGGATAGCAGCATTTGCCCTATAATCAATGTAACACCAAGTTAATAAATACTAGAAAACTGCAAGGTGTTCTGGTATGTTGAAAAAGAGACCAATAAGCGCTATGAATTTACAAAGTAACTTTCCAAGAGACAAAATTTAACCTCAATATTCGTCCTTTAAATATACAAGAACTCAAAATCACCAGCAAAAGAGACAGAGTCATGTAATCAAACAAGTGTATTTTTGCTCTTCACTCATTCTTTCTGGTATTTGTCTGCCAATAGTTCTTGGTTTTTTTATTTAACTCTCTGATGTTAAGTTCAGATCTCTTTATTTCATATAGAGTTACTGTGAACCACTGTTACCACAGTAAAGAGGATTAGTGGAAAGGAACATCCGTGCTCACAATCTCATCAGAAGTGCACAACCTCAAGTAATAACATCATCATTAAAATGTCACTATCTTGACTGTAATTACACACAGTTCTCAAGATCACATGCTTACCCAGATTATTGTGTGCTGGAGACATAGGGTTTGGTGATAAGTTTGGAGAACCTGAAAAATCAAGACATTATAATTATTAGCACAGCATCTGCACAAGGAAAAACACTTGCACAAAATCTTCAGTGCTGCCTAGGCTTGTTGGAGGAAAAACCCATTTCTCACTTAAGTCTCATTTTGTGACACCAGCAGCTTCTCTGATTCTGATTGTTCTTTATGTGAGCTTCTAAATGCTATTACTTATACCCACTTGCTACATCTGCAACATTGCTAAGCATCTTCATAATATATTTGCTTAAGCTTAACCCATTAATTTTCAAAACTGAACATGCAGTTATCTGTTTTGCTCTCACCTGAAGTTATCAAAACTCCAGGTACTATCATGACAGTCAAATCCAATTAGCTGGGCATTTAAGAGCTTGATTTTACATTGGTAGGCACAAAACATGCTCATAAAACATATCACTTCCCATCAAGAAATCTTACTGGTTTGGGATATGGAGTATTGAATCAAACTATACAGATCTGACCAAACAACTGTCATTCAATTTGATCCACAAATTCTGTGCATATATTTCAAATATCTGCACTTGGATGTCTAGAGCAATTTTGACAGTCTCTGGATGCCACATGGATGCAGACAGGAGGTACAGCTCATTTTTTCTTTTCCTCTCATACTGACTTTGGCTGGTTTCTTTAAAATTTGTTTTGCTATAAAGAGGGAAGTCCATGGCATCTGAAGGAAAGGATCTAGCATTTGATCATAAATTCGGTATTTATAGTATCTTTCAGGCCAATCCTATTCCAGTCCACTTTCCAAAAAGCCATACATACATTCCACACGTCAACCACATTACCAATAATTGTATGCACTAAAATGGATTGTGTGAATAGGCTTATGTTTGATGTAGACAAACAAACCCACACTGCCTTCCTCCATCTGTATAATCGTGGTGAAAGACTGCAAATCAGTCATCCCTCTTTTAGAATCCCACGTATGCTCTACGGCTAAGACACGCACAGAAACCAAGATATTTGTGTGCAGTATTTGCATTAACTAGGTTCTGCATGTCTATCTTTATGTAAGTGCCACGTATTTGCATATCTCTCTTGTAAAGCATCAGCTCTTCTAACCAAGGATGTGTTTTTGCTTTTCAAGCAAAAGTTTTATGAATTTGGAGTCTGATTCAGTGGTTCTTACAAACAGTGACAACACTCACATCAACAAGATGCCTTAAACAGTTACTCCCAGAAAGAGGAGACCTGCATGTTTAATTTTAAAGTGTTGATACAGGTTAGCATCAATGATAAGGCTCCTCATTCTAAACCTGGTTACTTGTTTTCTTGGCAACGAGAGCGAACCCAGACTTTCAACTTTCCTTGGGATATATTCATTAAATGATAAGCCCATTTAAAAACAAATCTCCTAGTGGTCATTTCAAATATAAACTGGACATTTAAGTATGTAAACAACCAAGCGATCAGAAAAATGCCTCAGCAGAAAAGTGACAGCTATATGCAAAATTTTCATGTGCATACAGACACACGTGTATGCAAACACAACACAATCATCCTTAGATGTGTCGCCACTGTTTCAGGCTCCTGCTTAGTAGTATCTAATGATGGATGTTGAACAGGAACATGCTGTACCTTTCACCTACTCTGTGCTTTAGATAAGATGTGAGGCTACATTTGCACTCCTACAGGGATAAAATACACCTCAAATCACCATCTGATCTTCAGTGCCTGAAGAAAAACTATAGAAGTGTCTCTGGTATGACCTAGAAAGCTGCAGCAAATGGCAAAAGCTGACTTACCTGCATCCATGCTGGGGTTCATCTGGTGGTCACTAGTTTCTCCATCCTCACTCAAATAGCCTGGAGGAGGTGTCTCTAGAAGCATAAAATGATCATACTGTCATTGCAACTGGATGCAAAGTCTGAATTTTAGACACCAAAAATATTTGTTACTCACAAGGAGCTAAATTTCTTTTTTAATACTTTTCTTCTCCAAGCTGCTGAGAGGAGGAGTTGGCACAACCAGGACGATAGACATATTTGTGTATAGCAGAAAAGGGGGAAACAAAAAAATCTGGATTTTCAGTCCCATAAAACTTCAAGCCATGTAGACAGTTTTCTGTCCACATATTTTTCCTTTCCTGGTATGCAGCTGCATAGCTTGTCCATGCAAATAAGGTGTAAATTGCTTGTAAAAGAGATTCATAAATAGAAGAGCTCAATTCCATCAGAAATTTAGAGAGTTTTACTCAAATTAAAATGGCTGAATTTCATTCAAATCTAAACTTGTTAAGGGAACATTCAGCTTGAGATTCCACAATAAACTGCGTATGTACTACTAAAGGAAATAGGTGAGTTTAAAGAAAACAAAACAAAACTATAAACAGCACTGTTCTGTGTCTGCATTTACAGCTTTTATCTATTTTTGTATAGGTTCCCACTCCTTAACTTCATAGTAATGATGGAAAGAAAGACTTTTCAGCCACCCAGCTTGGTATACACAGACACGATTCACTGTGCAATATGACCCTTTTCCCTCCACTTGCTGTATGGAAGATATACGGTACCTGGAATGTAGTTGCTCTGTGGCTCGATACCTGCTGGGAAGTTAGTGTTCTCTGGAATAGAATGACTATAATCGTCTAACGGCGGGAACTCAGCTGGGATCTCTGTGTGCCGAGGCACCAGCACTGGAGGTAACACTGCACAAATGGAAAGGAAAAAAATAGAACAGCAATGTTAACAGCTTTAAAATAAAATGACTGAAACACTAGAAAATGAAGAGAAACCAGTTTGGAGTAACACCCTTAAATACACGCAACACCAAAGTTGCTAATTAAGGGACACAATTTGATACTTGCTTCTGAAATAACAGCGGCAGTTAAAGATGCTATTCTTAACATATCTCAGCTGGGGACGGGATACGTGCTTATCTGAACACACCTAGTCTGACTGCCCCTTCTAAGGCAAAGAAAACAGGTCGTCTTGAAAAACGATTTAAGAGAAGTTATACTTCATAATTCAAAAGGAATAAATTTCACATAAAATGAAACAGCAAGGTAGGATTAGCATAAACATCCAGACTGGTTCTGCAGATTTGTACTGACACGCAGCAGAACTATCTGCAGTTCCAGATGAAAGTCTCTTTCAGAGGCAGGAGGAGACTTCAGAACAGGAAGTTCAGTTGTGCTGGGAGCTATTCTTAGATCCACTTCAACTTAACAGTAAGTTTAGCCTTAAGTTAATACCAACAATCAGGGATGCATAGAACACTGCCATAGTTCATACTTGTATCTACTACATGTGTGAGTTGTTTACATGCACACAATGCCACATTAGGAACCTGGCAACAATGCAACCTTGGATTTTATCGATTTAAAATGATATTCCTCCCCTGAGTGCAGATTCATAAATTATTCTACTGCATACAGTAAGAGATTACTATCAATAATAGATACACTTTGGTTTTAAAACCCTACGCCTGCTGCTTTATTCAATTCTGAAATGCACTTATAAATCCCTTATGCTGGTAGCGAGAAGCTGAAGTATCTGCACATGGGGCCAGCAGTACCTGGGGTTTCCACTCTTTGGTAATGGTAAGGATTCACACAGACTTCATCCTTCTTCATGTTGAAGGCATACTCGCACATCTCCATGGCACGCAGCTCATGGTGGCTATGAAGGTCCGGCCACCGCCACAGCCGGCAGTAGATCACATGGGGAAGACCCTTCCGGTGAGAGACTTGCAGCCGGCCATCTAATGATCTGCAGGCAGAGCATAAAGACCACAGTAATTTAGACTGGTGTTAATAAACGTGTAGTACCGACCACAGCCCATCGCATGCTACAACAGGGAACCTAATGGGAATACTGCAGATTTCAGCAGGAGGCTCAGAGCACAGGCTGCCCAGCCAACTCAGTATCCTGACACAATCCCAAGAGGTGCTGGTCACCAAAACCCACTGAGACAGTCCTGCAAGGAGGCTTCTCATCCCAGTCTTCAGGCCAAGAACTTCTCTCTAAAAAACCATAAATGTTTCTTTGATATAACAGCCCTGCTCTGGATTTATTAATTTTCTGAAGAGAAGTTAATTTGGAGTCAGAGCCAAGAGCTACAGCCAGTAAGAATACATCAATTTAGTGGTAATTCTGAAGCATTTATGTGTGTCCTAATGAACAGGCCATTTGCACGGTTCTCAATAATTTATGCTGTGCACACAAAGGGATTACATCTTAAAATATGTGCTAATAAAACTGGACTTTTAAAATACAGAGAGACATGAATTTCCATTGTGTCAAAATCACCCAAAATTGCTATATATACTTTTTCTTTAAAAAGTGTTCACAAACAATACAAACAAGCAAGGCTTCCAGTTCCACTTTCCAAATTGCAGCTTGAAAGCAAAACATAGTTTTTTCAGCATTGCTTTCTTTTATTTTTACATCTAGCCTGTGTCTCCTCCAACTGCTTTTTCACCTAATCCTATCCTCACCCCAGAACAGCTTGTTGCTAGCACACCTTCCTGGGAAGCAAGACAAGTGTGTACAAATCCTCTCCATCAGAGGAAGGAGTCCGAGCAGGGTCTCCTCCATCCCTGAATGAGGGCTCCACTCCCTGAGACACAAAACACAAACTGCCCCCGGGCACTTTCTTTGAAGTCTAACCCTTCATTTCCCTTGCTTTTCTTAATGACTGAAATGAAACACTTCAGGGGTTTGGTGAAATGAAATATTTCTATTTTTTAATTTGTCAAGGAAAGGAAAAAAATAAAAGAAAATTTAAATTTTACTCGGAATTATTTCCCTTGGTTCTTTGTGTTGGCAGCCAATCTAGAAAAACAAAACCAAACCAAACCAAAACATACAAACAATTATTCAAACAGTGGTTGCGCTAGTCTTGGCTGCCCTAAGAGTTTTCCCAAAAGCTTCTCTGGCAGAGCTTGGTAACACACACACCTCTTGTAAACACTGCTACAAAAACAAGGCAGGCAAAACGCAACCAATCCAAGCTATTACTGACAATCACTTGATTTAGAGGAGCAGGGAAACATGTCATATAACTGTTACGTATGAAGTATATAAGGAGTCGATGCCATCACCGAGGGACTTGCTGGTACAGGTTATAAAACATCTAAAACCTGCAAGTATATTACAGCCCTAAAAAATGCACAACACCCACAGTTATTATTTATAGTACGTATTTATAGTATGTATTTCTTCATATTGTGCCTGTTATTTATGGGTCACGCGTTCTCTTCAGCCTGCTCTGTGGCAGCGTGACCAGCCAGCTGAGTAGCTGGCACCTTTTCCAAGTGGGCTCCTATGCTAAGCTCCTTCTGAGGACAGGAAAGCAGAAATCGGTCTTCCCAGGTAGAAGACTCACAAGGAGGGCACCAGTGCCTAGAACTGATCTTCCATGGAAGGTGAGAATCTTGGTATTGATATCAATGGGGCCAAGACTTGACTTATGTGACTCCAGAAGTTGTCAGTTTGGAAAAATTTGAAAAAACAGATATACCAAAAGTGTGAAAATATTCACTAAATCTAATAAAAAGAGAGTAAGCTGAAACAAAGAACAAAACAGAACCGCTTTTCTGTTCCCCTTTCAAACATCTGTGCCCAGTTGGAAGGGTGTCTTGCATCTAAGTGAGGGTAAAGGAGAAAAAAAAGAAGACTTAGAGAGATTATTCCAAGTATCCCACAGGAGACACGACTGTGGCAAGTGTTCTTATTGTTACCAGCCACCATCAACAGATGGACATCACAAGCAGCACAGGCAGATTTGGGTTGAAGTTAGCAGCTGAGATAAGGGGACTAACACAATGTGTGTATGATGTTGGGATTACTTGCAGGGATGAGTCTCTCCCTATGTTTCCCAGGGTAGAAGAAACTCCTTACATCTACAACAAACTTCTCAGTCAGCTGGAGGGTAAAGAGCACTTCTTCCCATCACCCCAGGGTTCTTGGTAAGAGCTATGAAGTCTTTAAAAAAGATGAGCCAGTACACCTACGTGCCCGACTCACCCTTGATGCAGCAGCCCTCACCACCCAGGTTAACGGAGACAGGGGAGAGAGACAACAAGTCACTGTTGTCTGAGCAGCCCCCAAATCCTGAACAGCTTCTGTGGTTATCTTAAAAAAAAAGCCTAAAGCATAACAGCTCTCAACCACTAGTAACACAGGTACTCGCTGTTAGCAGAGACTGCACACTGTTGTGTTGTGCTTGCTCTCTGCCACTGCTCACGGCACGAGTGCTGTCTATGAGGTAGAAGACATGGACTTCTCTACAGTCTTATCTAAAAAGGCTTTTTAAAATGGCAGAGCCATATGTTTTCAAATATAATAGCCTCCTCTTCTCCCCTCTCCCCCCAATAAGAAGATAAGGTAAAAGAAATTATATTTCCCCAAAGCCCTGAAGGATAATTACATTTTTATGATTGTGAAATCTCAGGCTCTCTGTTAAGGGACTTGGGACAAACCAACATCGTCTGCATGTTCTTGGGAAGAACGTGGCTAAGTAACAGGGCAGCTTTATTTCTTTCAGCTGTCCTGCTTCAACCCTCAGGGAGTATTTTCTCCAAAGCAACAAATAACTGGTATGGCTGTGATGGGACACAAGATTAGATGAGCAAACACTATGCTCTACTAAAGGCAGCTTTTTGTGTAGATAGAGCACTCCAATTACCACAGTCCTTATTAGTTGACTGAATATTTGTCAATGCAAACACTTGATCGAGCACTAGAACTGTCCTGAGCACCTGGCCATCTCACTAATAAATGATCTAGGCTGCAGTCTTATGGGCAGCTGTGCCAAGCTACAGGACTAACATGGCCTTGGTGAGATAGTCTTCCTCCTGGCCAACACACTCCCATTTCCTCAGTCTCGCCCTATCTCATCTCCTCCCTTCCTTCGTCCTATTCCCTCAGCATCATACCACAGGCAGGCTCAGATCTCTAACTTGGCAGACTATCCACTTTTTCAGGGGTTATCAGGCTGTAACATTTCTTGGGGAACCTGATGAAAGCCAAAAGCTGCTGCGAGATGAGTTAGTATATACTTTTGTTAGCATGTACCACAGCTGAGGATGCATTTGACTGGCTCATCATCTCTGGAGTCCACAGCCCTCAGGGATGACCCAAGCAGGTGTGTGTCAGATCCCTGTGCAGAGTCATCTAATAATAAACTCCCTAGCACACACAGCTTCTACCCTTTCCTGGTCCTGTTCTGAAGCATGGTCTGATCCTGAAGGTTTAAGTATTCCCCAAACCACCTGAGAGCTCAACACATCCAGGATCCATTCAAACTGGCATAATCTAAGCACCAAAATTTCCCCTGGGTTACTGAAATGTTCCTCCTTTTTATCTTTCTTCTAACCAGCCTGTGTTGAGCAGATCCCCCTGTACAACTGACTTGATACATTTATTATTCCATACTACCTAACAGAATTTCTTTTAAAAATACCAAAGCTTCTTTGGCTAAAAATTCAGTATTGAATGGTTCTCTCCAAAAACAGCACCATTTATTCTGGTGAGACACTATGTCTTCAAAGTGTCTCTGTACTGCATGGTGGGATTAAATAGCAGAGGCTGTGAAGGAGTTCTTCTTTTCACAGTGTGGATGTTTAGATTGAGAGGGTGATGCAGGCTCTTACTGCCAGAGGGTGTTCTAGTGCATCTTTCATAACCAGCACGTATCCTGAACTTGCAAGATAAGAACAAGAAAATATTGTGATCCACAAGACTGTTTTACTCAGGGAAATACGATGAGCTGTAGTTATCACCGCCTGCGAGTGTGAGAGCATGTAGGCTATGAGAGCCTGCAAGATAAAGTACAAAGCCAGAACACAGCAAGATTGCTGAGCTGATACCAATTTTAGCAGTGGTTTATAGCAAAGAAATGAATTCAACAATGATTCAGAAAAACAAAGTCCTGATATGACCAGACAAAGAAGCAGTAGAGAGGAGGAAGGCTCAGCGATGTCAAGGATCAGCCTGTTGGGAAGAAGGGCAGAGACAAGCACTTCCCCACCTGAATGACAACTGTGTGGCCAGCAGTTCCGCTGCGAGGCTGTGCTGGGGTGTGAGAGCATACTGATGCCTCGCAGCACGTTTGTCCCAGCCCCTGTGGTGGGTGTTAGCAATAAAGACTGTGCACCCATATCCTGCCTGTAGGATACAGCTCAGAAGAGTAAGTGCTTGGTAAAAGATGCCCATGGAGAAGTTAGCTGAAGGCTTGAAGGTTACAATATGGTGCATTCAAACACTATCAAGAGGTATCCAGTGGAGAGGTTACTCCACATCTAGGGCAGTTACAACCAGAGATTAAAAAAAGACTGAATGAAGAAAGAGAGACCAAGACTCCAGGAATGCAGTCAGGTAAATTAACTGCTTGCACAACAGCATAAGGCATGGTCAGGACACCACTGCAGTGGCCATAAGACACAAACAAAAAATCCCTCAGGCTGAACACCTTTAGGATTGATCCATCCTTATATGTTGTTACAAGCCATTTACCAGGAAAGTTTAACACATGAAACTGCTACTCAAACTGTCCAGACAACTGTTGCTCAAAGAACAAAGGGCAATAGTGACTCTTAATAGCAAAAACAGGCAAGGAAGGAAAAAAGAATTAGGCTTTTTTTTTTTAAACAACCCTCTGTAACTGTCTGAAAAAGAGTGAGGAGTAAATAGGAGAACATTACACTGCATAACAGGAATTTGATTTCTAGGCCTGATTGGAGGTTTTTTTCATTGTTGTTTTG